TTTGCAATGACATGGATAGAGTTTGAGGAGATTATGCCAAGTGACTAAATCAGACAGTGAAAGACAAACACTGTAGAATATGTGGAAAATAAACAAAGCAAACAGACAAAAAAATACAAACTCTTTGATTCTTACAAAAGAATGGTGGTTACCAGTGGGAAAGGGGAATTTCTGGGGGTGAATCGACGGGCTAGAGGGGATCAATTGTCTGGTGGCAATGGACATTGGGTTTCTGGTGGTGATTGTAGTGTAGTATATACAGATGTTGAAATATAATAAGGTTGTGCACCATGAAAGAAAAACAAACTCTAAGGCTATGAGAACAGAATGATGCTTCCCAGAAGGGAAGGGGGTGAGCAAATCAGGCAATGGGGGTCCACTGTATGGTGGTGGAAGGAAACTGAGCTATTGGTGTGTTATACCCAAAATCTAGAAAATGCTATAAACCAAAGAAAAAGAAAAATAGAGTGCTCTAAACTCTGAGTTAATAATGGACTGGAGGGGAAAGGAAAGAACCAAAGAAACTATATTAATTCAAAAAGACACCTACACCCCTATATTTACTGCAGTACTATTTACAATAATTGGTAAGCTATGGAAATGGCCCAAATGCCCAGATGACTAGATTAGGAAGATGTGATATGTACACATAATGGAACATTGCTTAGCAGTCAAAAAGATACTCATGCTGGATGGAGCTGGAAGGGATCATGCCCAGTGAAATAAGCCAGAAAGGAACAGAAAAATACTGAATGGCTTCACTTCTGGCAGGAGTGCAGGGGACCCAGATAAGAGATCGGGGCGGCGGGGTGGGGAGAAAAGTAATCATAATAAAGTAAAAATCAAACTCAACAGGTAACTCTAAACCAGAGACATTCCAAATCAAAATCAACAGGTAACTATAAACCAGAGACATTCTTTGGTGGGGGGAAGAGGAAATAGGATCAAAACAGGGGTCCGAAGAGCACAAGGGACTATGGCGATGGTGCGCAGGTGTGAATCGGTGGCAGAAATTTCACGGGGATTACAACTGAGATGATGAAGCATACGCTGTATAAAAATGCAAACAAAACAAGGAAACTAGCCATTGCAGTGCTTGGGTGAGAGGTGACAGGTGACAGAGCGTCTGGGGAACTGGAGGGACTGAGGAGGACTTGTGGGCTTCAGGCTTTAGTGGTCACCTGCATGGGGATACCTTTGCCGTGAGAGGTGACTCAGCACAGGGTCATGGAGGAAAACTAGGCTTCCTTTTCCCTTTGGCAAAATTGGACTTAACCTTCCAAGGAGATGAAGTTGATGTACAACTGGAAGCCACCAGACATTTCTGGGCTGGGCTCTCAGCACAGGATGAGATGGGAGCTTCCAGCAGAAGGGGTCAGAAGGAAAGAGAGGACGTAGGCCAGAGTCCTGGAAAACTGGTGTGGGTGTGGGAGTGACCGGTGGGGACAGGAAAGCCAGGAGGGTGGTGTCACGAGAGCCTAAAGAAACTTCTGGGAGGGCCAAGGCGGGAAGAAGTGAGGCGTACCCACTTGGTGTGGTCAGTTGGAGGAGGTTCTGATGGTGACAAGTCATTTCGGTTAGTCCATGAGGATGAAAAGTTCAGATTAGAGTGGGTGGAAGAACTGGAGCTAGGGAGGCAGAAATGACATCTGCGGACAACTATTGAGAAGTGTGACCATTAAACTGGTAGGGGACTAGCTGTGGACTTAGGTTTCTGTGAAAGTAAGAAATGTGCTATCATTTCTTTTTTATTATCGGTTATTAATTTTTTTTAAAGATTTATTTATTTGTGCATACAGAACTGGGGTACAGGCCAGAGGCTCAGGGGTGGCGAGAGGCTTCACCAGAGACAGAGTGG